CCCCCTATCTCATCCCTCACCCTCCCCTCCCCTTCCTTAATTCAAAATGACTAAACCTTTAATAAAATCATATTTAAGCTTCCTGTAAAGTTGGAGACACGGTAATCGAGGTGGGCAAGACTTACAAGTCCCCTCCACCTGACTGTAAGGTGTATGTGTGCAAAGAAGGTGATGCACTCAACTCATATAGCATCTGTAGATTATTGGCTGTTGAAGACGTTTGCTGCGAATACGGCTATCAGGATAGCACTAGGCTGGTATATGGCTGTGAGTGTAAAGTTCCAGGTTGTAAAGAAAAAAGCTGGTAAGCAATGAAGAGTAGAATGATTGTGAGACACCAGAGAAGAATGATTTACTTAGAGGGGTAGAGGTAGGGATTTCTGTGAATGGTTTAAGGTTTGCTGTGAGATAGGTATCTTAGAACAAGCTGTGGACCATTAATGGCAACATAACTAAATCGTGAGAATATCTTTCACCTTTTCTTGTTTCAGGTACCATTATATACCGTTCACCGGTAATAAATGTTCATAACTGCAAAGAAAGCCCTTTTTAGTTGGTAAGAACATCAATCATTCATAACAATAAGTTGCATCTCTTTTCGTGGAAGCCGAGTAAGTTTTTGTATGAAAAACGTTATTTACGACAAAACTGTATATTTGGCTGTCAGAATGTGGTTCGATTATTATGGCTCAGTACTGCCTCCTCTGTCCGTATGACCGTCCGTAAAACCACAGGAAGCCCAATAGTGCCCAATCCATAACTTGAACAATTACGCATTCAGGACCGAAAGTCCGATTTTTATCATCTAACTCAACACGCAAAGTCATCATTCACTCAATTCTCTTCTCACGTTGAAAGTAAAATGCCTTAGTAATAGCGCAGCGCACTGATTCTAAAAATAGTTTAAAGATTCGGACAAACATTGCATTCTGTTTAACCGCTACGAGGATTATACAAACCGATTTTATTATTTTTACTTAAAGTTACAATAATAACCCATGTAAACTAAGATCAACTGCGATCGGCTGTGAAAATTATCTGCTGAAAGTAAACTTGTAAGTTTGTTTGTCCGAATTTTGCCTTTGTTTTCATTTTTATGACGTCACAGTTGCGCTGCGCTATTGCAAAACCAGCAAGAAATACCGTTTGTAAGATATCCCATAATTTTCTATATACTTTTGATATATAATAATGTTATTAACAATAACTGATAATTTCTTCCTATCATTTTGTAGATTATATTGTACCAGCGTAGTAAAGATGTCCGATGCCGGAACAGTACTAATGGACCAGATCAATAAAATACTTTTATCAGTCTGTTATGTGTTTTGTCTTTCGGTGCTCTCGCCAAGTAATTATTGAGCCTGCGTTTTTCCTTGTAGCGCTGAACTGCTGACCACGAGGCAATAGACCTCTTCGGCTTTGACATAATGTTTTCCCATTTCAGACCACTTGTCATTCCCTAGAGTATCATTTCTTTGTTTTACGGTTTGCACTCGGTTGCACATGAGAAGACACATAAATATGGATACAGCTCAAACAAAGAATCTTATTCTCAAGGGAATGACACGTGGTCTGAATGGGAAAACATTACCACAAGCCGAAGAAGTCTATTGAGAGTCGATCTTGGGGAGGGGGGGGGGGGGGGGGGGGGGGGCTGTAATAAAATGTAAGGGTGGCACTAATGTTACTGAGTACTGCGAACATCTACCCATCGTTCTGTGCGCGATTTTATTTTTTCATTAAATCCCTGATTTACGTTATTACAAAGTGAAACGTTTTGAATAATGCTCTAAGTTACTGAAACGTTTTAGATATTATCTTGTTATTCCCTCAGTTAATGAACTTTAAATCTTAAAACAAATACCTTGAAAAACAAATGATAGGATGTGATGGAATACCCTGAAGTAACATGTTGGGACTGTTAGGTGGGGGCAGGATGCAAACTGTCAAAGATGGAAAATAAAAACAACTAAAAGCAACTAAAAGAAAAAAGCAGAAGAAGAAAAACATGTAAACTTAATTATTCTCCCAAAGACTCCTTCACTACATTATTATACGAACGAAGAAGAAGAAGAAGAATATTTACTGAGAAGGGATGTGTTTTTGCTTATTGGCGCATCACGAACTCATAGTCGATATCATCCTTCTCTTTGGGAGCAGTTTCTTGAGTTCTCTTAACCAAGTCTTGACAGCTACGTTTCACTTCTCGTTTGTAGTAAGGAACATTATCATCTCTAGATGATGAACCTCCTGTGCACTCGTCGTATGCGTCTTTACAGCTTGAACGACAGTTGACTGCATCGGCATCGATGCCGTTACCACATTCTTTTTCGCAATTGTCTTGATCGTCTTCGCATTTCAACATGCAGTTATCAAACATGGCACTGTCGGTTACTTTCCTGTCGTTCTCAACCATTATGGCACGTCCACTGACATAGTAGACCAACAGCCCTAGAAGGGCGAGCGTGACAAGTGGTCTCATTGACTGACCTGTGAAGAATATAAAATATCATATGAACTTGATTGTCAATGCCACAAACTATGAATCTTGAAAAACTAATGCAGAAAGGAGTGCTGCAACTGCAATGACAACGAAGACAACAACGGTAGCAACAACAGCAGCAACAACAGCAGCAGCATCAATAACAACAACAACAGCAGTAACAATAGAAACAGTAACAATAGAAGCAGCAACAATAACAGTGGCAACAACGACAGCTGAAATAACAACAGCTGCAATAACAAAAGTGGCAACAGCTGCAAAAATAACTAAAACGGCAACGACAGCAGCACTAGCAACAACAGTAGCAGAAATAAGAACAGAATTATAAAGGTGTTTTAACACATGTAATCCAATAGAATATGTCAGTAATGGCATATAGACCAAGTTCACAATCAGAGAGGGAAAACCAATACTGTAGCTTAGTATTACATCGAACATGTGCTAGTGAAAATACACAGAAAAGGAAGATTACATCTTTAAATCTGGGCACTCGGTTATTTACGTAATGATAGGAAATATTTGAAGTGGCCATTATAAAAATAATAATTGTATCATCACTCTATAATCCCATATAAGCAACTATTGTATTATTTTCAAATTCTCTTTCCTGTCCAAATTAAAGAGCTTAATTTGGATCGTTGCCATTTGCATTCTTTCGAGGGAAATCTAGGCTTATGGAATCAGTTTAGTATAGTTTGGGATGATAAATATTTTACGCGAGCAAAATATTTAATTTAATACTACTTAATTTTCAAGCAAAATATTCGCATAAGACAACGAAATATTTCGCAGAACTGAACAAACACGGTACCAAATAGACTTGCTGTCTAACCCCTTTTTCGATAACTTTTTCACTTGAACGTTCCAAATCGATATAACTTAAATATACAAAGTTTTTTACTCTATACAGCTATTTCAAAAAAGGTTGAACACTGAATACTGTATACTGCATTGTGGGTCATAGTGACATTGCCTAAAGTAGGATTAATAACTACACGTAGAGAGTTAATTGCTCTATGTTTACTTTTTATTTTAAATTAACGAGACCCACAATGCCATTCGGTCTTCGAATACACTATTCAGTATGCAGTATTCAGTATTCAACCTTTTTGAAATAGCTGTATAATACTGAGGAAAACCGGCTCAAGGGTGGCACATAGTTCTCGTTTAAAAATTAGCTACATTTTTTTAAAACCATTTTTTTTGTTTTATTAGATTTGCTTCATTTCTCTTATAATTCTTTTTAATAATTTCTTTTTTACTCAATCATTGAGTTTTTTTACGGAAAATGAACTAGTTGATAATTTTAAAATCGTAAAAAATATCGTTTTCAAGTTTTTTACAGCCATTTATTGTAAAAAAAAAGGCAAAAAAAACTAATCTTTTTAAAAAATAAATAAAATTTGAAAAGTAAAAAGTCTTTTGCAGTTTGAGAAATGCCTTTCCTATTATAAGAGCTTTTTTTTTTTTTTTTTTTTTTTTTTTTTTTTTTTTTTTTTTTTTTTTTTTTTGCTATAACTTTGTAGAAATCTAAAAATTCGCGTCAGATTTGATGACGTTTTCGAAAATTCACATGAATCAACGAATATCTAGAGAAAATATTTTAAGAAGGAAATCTTCCATATCATCATCGAACTCCAAGTTTTGAGTGTTAAAACCCGTCAAAAAAGGCAAAAAAAAAGGATCAAATACAATTGTAAAATTAAAAAATTCTTTTTCAACAGTAAAAATAAAAAAGTCAATTCGTCTTGTTCGTCAAACTACAGTTGCGATTCTAGCTCAAAACAGAGGCGAGTGTTTCTATGTTATCCATTTAAAAGAAACCAGATTCGCGATTTCTTTTTTCCCTATTTATTTAGTATAAACGTTTCTGTTAAGAATATATATCAAATGAAAATCTAAATAGTCAAGATTACTTATCGAAATGATTCCTTTCTAAGTATGTGATTTTTGATTGATCGAAGAAAATTTCTTAAAAGAAACTAAGATTTCTCAGAATTTTTCTTGATGTTTTAGGAGGTTTTCTTACCTTTTATATTGAGTTTCCTTCAGCTGTTTTCTACGACCTTTGAGGATGGAAGCTGAACGGATGCAAGAAAGGTTTGCCTTGAGACAACTATGGTTATGTGGTAGGGCACTCCTTGAAATGCTGTTACTAAGCAATTGTTAGTACCCCTTCAAGCATCTGTAAATTAAGGGCTATGAGTTGGCGAATAATAATTAGTGAAATTAAAACCTGTCTAACAGAATCAACTGGATATGTATTCTGTGAATTCATTGGCTGGAATAATTGAATCGTTACAGTTTTATAACAATCTGATTTTTAAGTGGTAGTCGGCGATTATGGAGCGAGTTTCACCCTAATATTGGAGACCAATTCAGACAACATTGGGATCACGAGACGAATATCATGTGACCTCTGAAGTAAGACAAAGAAAAAGTATAAGTCAAAGTATATTTGACATTAGGCTACTCTTACCATTGCATTCATAATAATTTGAATAATTTAATATTTCTATTGCGCATGTTCCATTGGTAGATGCTCACATGCGCATTACAAAAAGCCATTACAAACATTACTTTTATAATATGTGATAAAATCTAATCTAGATAATAATAGTCGGGAACATGTTGCATTGTGGTGTAGCTTCGGTACAAACATCTTTCATTCATCATGCCTTATATGGTGTTGTTTATACCGAATCTGGACCACAATGCATCCTGAACTCAGAAAAGGCCTATTTTTGGATAGGACATTTACATTATATATGGCATCATTAACTACAACTTCCAGAATCCTTTATACCCTTTTTTGTCAGTTAATTTGCACCTTATAAGACAATACGAATTTGAATAAGGAAGAAAATTTGCAAAGGATTTCGGTAGTCATAGTAACATGACGCCATCATGCAAACGTCCTATTTTAGTTGTAGTCGGGGAAAAGTTCGGAAATCTCCAAAATTTGGAGATGATTAAAAGACATCCAAGCTAAATTTCACTAAACCTGACATTGATTGTTTTAGATAATCTGTAGTTTAATATCTTACTTTTTTCAAGTAAAATCAACCAGCAAAGCCGCGTGAAAATGTTAAGCATATTAAACTTTTTCGAAGGATTTTCAAGAACCAAACTGGCCCTCTGGGGTGGCTGGTGGTGAGTTGTGTAGACGTGACAAAATTCCTAAGTGGGAAAGTAGTAAGGTCGAAATTGCCGCTCGAGTCCCGCCCACATATTGAGTTCGTACAAAACGTAGCGTGGCCAGAAAATCTCCAGCGAGTAAAAAACTTACTGCACGAAAATTTCGTGCAGACAAATCTACGAAAAAGAGCAAAATGAGTTTTAACAAAATTAACCCCTCATGCTTGGGACTGTTTTGGACAGTTTTTTTGGGTGTTCGAGATTTAAAAGACGGCAAAATCGTGGTTGAAAGTGTGTTGTATTTGCAAGATGGCGGCTTGGACTGGTTTTCTCCTTGTTAGAGTATTTAAAGTGATTCCGAGCTTTAACTTCGTAGTTTTGCACCGCGCATTCCTATTGTGCTTACGTTTAAAAATGTTGAAAAGTATGAACATTGCGATGCATTTTTGATCGATTTTATCAGTTATTCGTTTGTTCTGATCTGGAAGACCTCGAATAAGAAAAAATATTTTCAATTCAATCTTCCCCCGATTTTATTTTCACCTTTCAACACTTTTTGCTGAAGTATAGTAGTAAGCATCCAAGCTTGACTGGTACAAAATTGAAAACAATTCAAAATCAGCATTTTAGTAGTGAAGAAAATGATTATATATCGTTTTTTTTTATTGCAAGATTCCACGGTTCCACGTATATGAATATTTTCATCCTAAAAATGCTCGATTCCGTGGTCTGTTTGTCCTTTTTTTTTTTTTTTTTTTTTTATTTTTTTTTTGTAACTAAGTGTGCAAAAGCTTCATGCCCAATTCCGCGCGCGACACGGTTAAACGCTTTAGTATTTTTCATAAGAACTACGAAACGATATCGTTGTTGCGTGAGAACGAAGCTCAAAGCCCGCACGATACTTCGCTGACAAAAAACAGCCTTTCGTTCATAACCAAGGCAATTACGCCTGGTATCATAACCTTTCATCATAGTTAACATTGCTCTAATTAAGATCTTAATGCGGAGGCGTGCTGACAGATCAGTCAGATAGCCACATGCTGATAATATGAGAGCTATGGATACTTGGCTAGTTAGCAGTCATTGATCTAGGCACCTTGGCAGAGAGTGGGGTTGTCAACGCAGATCGCTTGAGTGTTGATCGATTACACGTGCCGTTACTATTAGCTTTAAAATCAATCAGTTTCTAAAGCGTTTTGCCATCGGTTCGTTCCAGAACGTAATAGATACGTATATCGATGGCTTTGCGTTGTTTTTGATGCTTCTCGCGCACTTCAAGCTCTCATAAAACGGCTTGTAATGTCAGTGTAAGCCGGAAACCTCATTACTTGAAAATATTCTGTAGATAATTAATCACTAGAGGTGATTAGGTACAGTACTCTCTAGATACTACTTGGATACGTATTTGATTTGAATTACAGTGTCAATTAGAAGAATTCTTAACGAGTATTCGTTTTAGGACAACAGAAATAAAAAGGAATCCTGCAGGGTCGCGAGGTCAGAAGGTACGTTGGTCATCAGGCTTAAATACCTCATATTTCCACGTATGTTGGTTCTACTTGCGAAACAAATATCCATGTACATTTTGCAACGTTGTTTTATAATGAGGTAACAAATTGTTTACTGTTGGCGTAAACACAATAGCAGAGATCAGTTTTTAGGGGTTTTTATTGATTGAAAATGGACCAAAAAGGCCGCGTGCCGGAGATGGATTTTTAATGGCTCATGGATAGCGTTCCGACCCTCAGCAAGACCGCAAGAGTGAAAAAAGCGCGCCTATTACAATGAAGGGAGACAAATTATCGTACTGACTCGTTACACTGACATGAAGCCTGGAAATTTCATTAAAGGGACGCCCTCCCTTTGTATCAATGCACTTTTAAATCGCTTCCGTTAGTTGTTTTGAGCGAGATTTAGCGACTAGTATGGCTTAGGGACAAAATGTATTTGAATGCGCTGTCTCATGGGGTCCAGTTCCTGTTCATTCCAGAGCATGTAAACGCATCAACTGCCGAAGAAAGACCTAAAGAAGAAGCCTATCTAGAAACCATGTGATAATGTGATTTGATCCTCCGATGCCATTTCAAGTGCGTATTCCATATTCGGCCAAGATCTCTTCGGAATGCCGAGCAACATAATCTGATTCTTAAAAAAGGATCCACGGAGAGAAGCTCAGCTTCGCCAAAACACTTTCAACATTTACGGCCCAGTAATCGACTCCCAATTCAGATTGATTGATGGATGGAGGATGATAGATAGATTTTTCAAAATCAATTTATCGTAAACAATCATAGACGTTCTGTCGGTCCAATTACCTCGTTGATGTGAAGGTCAATGTTTGAACTTCCTTTCGAACTTTGAATCACTAAACCCGTACAATCACTTCTCCCGCAGGAGGATTTTGCAAAAGGAAGCACGCGCAGTTTTAAGAAACAAATCGCCATCCTTAAGACCTGTCACTATAGAAAACCCAGGTGTACCGGTCACAGCAACCTTAACAGTGCAAGCCATTTCTTTTTCAGAAGGTTCTCAGTTTGAAGTGATCACTCGTTCCCGAGCACACTTCTGTAATCTATCACATCCTGGGATCCGTCGTCACCAGTTGACAATTAAGAAGTACTCGGTAATCCAACCCCGGGGATGGTGTTTGAATCACGAAAAGAGTAGTTTATAAAGAACGCGCATCAACGGACTGGTCTTAACATGTCCATTAACCCTCAACACCATCAGACAATCACAAGGTAAGAAAACCATACATCATCTTAACATAAATTTATTGAGAAATACGTTTTGTCATTCTTTACGAAAATGGATGCATGAATATTTAGAAGTTTAGTCGAGTTTGTTTTGTTGGGCGGTTTATACTTTCTGATTTACAACCAAAGGGGTGGATATAAAGTCTCCACTGATAAACATTACAAAATGTTCACTTGGGGTTAATGCAATTTACGTTGTTTAATCTCAAAAGAAACTGTAATGATGTTTGTTGCCAACAACACGGAGCCACTACATCTCTTATTTCCGAAACAATTTCAAACGTTCAATTTCCTCGTCTTTCCGTAATTTTTTGGTACATCGTTGCATTTGTATTGAACGCATTTCCCTTGAGTTGTGAGCACTATCGTACAAGGTTTCTTTTTCGACAACAGTGTTAGCGCAATATTTAAGGCGGTTTTTCATGTGAAGAATGAAAGATGGACCTTTTTGGCTAGAAACAACATCAATGCATACATCTTACTACAACGATGTATAAGAATCCATGCAGTTGCTACGGTACAAAGTCGAAAACAGCCACTTCACGTTAGCTTCTTGATCTTGTTCGGATACCTTTAGATTCTGGAGAGATTCTTGGTCAAAAAAGGGTACGACGATTTCAAAACTATACTGAGGAAAACGATTGTTCAAAGGAAAAACAGCCAGACAAAGTTTTCGTTTGCTCGAAACCATGAGACTCATAACTGAACCAGTACAGTCAAGACAAGACACGACTGCGCTTGCCTAGAAGCAAAAGCACCAACAAACGCCAAACTCAATAAACCCACATTTTTTTTACCTATATGAAGTTGAAACTGACTTTAAACTCTAGACTTTTCTAAACAAAGGCTTCGAATTCCAAAGTCGGGTGCAAGTTGCAGGAAGTTTTGTATTCAGGTGAGGCCAGCCAAACAGACGAGAAGATCATCCGATGTTTGTTTACAAGATGTTTGCGATTCTTGATGAATCAAAAGCTAGAGTTTTCGTTTCCGGCTTAGTAAAATAGCTAGGATATCTGAATGCCGTCTACGCATAAATGCTGCTGTGAAGGTCAGTGGACGTGAAAACGTCATTATGAAAGACCATTTAAGCCATTTCCCCTAAAAGGAAACAGAACCGTGGCAAGTAACTTAGATAAAGAAATTCTTCAAAATGCACGAAAAGTACTGCATAACTCAAATTTTTAAAAAGAATTTGAAAATGAAAGGAAAATGACGACCTATTGTAGAGGTTGTGGCACTCGTAGATGCTGTTGCATCTAGTACGTCGTACCTGCAACAATAGATTCGTGGACCCATTTGTCAAACGTTACTGCCAAGTCACGTGGTTAAGTATGGAATATGGGTATGTGATCGATGTATTTATTGGTGTTTTGAAAATTCACATCAATGAAATTAGAGAAAAAAATTATATTTTCTTGATAAATCTTTAATCAAAAACTGAGCAGCTATAAATTTCGTGATGATTGTCGAGTTAGCTTAGTCGTTCTCAAAGACAATTAGCTTTACCGGTAAGCAAAGCAGCAATACTCAAGGGAATAACACACTCTGAAATGGGAAAACCTTATGTCCTATGTGGAAACGCTTTAATGCTGCAAATCGCTTCCAAATAAAAATCAACAGCTACTGCGTTGTGTCGCGACAACGCTCCGGTTTTTGTTTCATAAGAGCGATTGTACAACAAGTGTATATCGTGTACGGTCCAGTTTGGTCGATATAGATCCTCCTTCTATCACGAACTTTACATAGGAACCAAAAGCTTTTGTGTGAAGAAGAACATACCACAATAGCCGTTGAAAAAAGACAAGTCAAACCGAAGAAAAATATTTTAGGAAGTTAGTTTTCTGTAGAAATGAATCGAGGAAGACCAATAGACAGATGTCCGCAGAGTTCAGTAAACTGGAATAGTACTTCAAGAGATGGTTGCTAGCGGACTTAATCCAACGAGTAAGAAGGTTTGTCAGCGCGGGTCAAGGTGAATAGGATTGCCTGACAATGCTGTGAACAGCGACGATCGAATTAAAATCAAATCCTTTCATGATCAGAACGGAATGAAAAACCTTTTTGGAACATCCCGACCGCGTGATACGTGATATTATTTTGACACGAATCCTGCCGTTTACTTTAATCAAAATATAAGTACAGTTTCACAGTCGATTCCAGCTCGACTTTCTGTTACATTACCAAACATTTTTGTGGTTAATTCGAATGAGGTAGAGAAATTAAAAGTGCATGGTTGACGATACCTTAGTCATAGTGATGGATGTAGAAGATGGTCGATGCAGGAAGAGATGGTTTCCTGGGGTCACTATGGTACAAAATGTACTTACTGTACCATGGGAATGTAATGGTTTCCGCTGACAAGTTTGGGATGTTTGGTTTTAGAACATGAAACAATGTGTCATTCAAAAACTGCGTAAAAACAAAATCTAACAAAATGCCAGCCTTGTGAAGATGTTGGCAAATGCAGGTAAGTGTGTAGTGACCAATCAAACAATACTCCGAAAATATGGCCGGGAGAAGCACTTAAAAGATGGCAAACAAAAATTTAAAAAGGAGGAAGAGTACACCGACTCATATTCATGCCGAGATTAATTTTTCAACACTTAATTAATTAATAAATACACGAAATTATTCAGTGCCTTTTTTTTTGCCCATATTGCCGGGCTATTTCGTACGAGGATACGTGTTATTAACAGAATAAAGTTCTTCGATATAGTTGAAACTCTTATTGATATTTTCACTTGAGAATTCAAGAATACGTTTGTCCATAATGTTCCAAAGCTTTTTTTCCAGTTAGGGCGGTGTATATATCCTCAAATCTCCTAGCTAACGCAAATCAGTTTGTACTTGTTCGAATTCCTCCGCAATCCGCCCAGCAATCTTGTTCTGTAATCAATGTCGGTACAGACTCATCGTGAAGTTATTTACCAGTAACCACATGTTCTTGAAAGTTCCATTGTCCACGGGGGTGTTAAAGCCACCTAAGAGGCGTGTCACTCTAATGGACTAGTATATATATATGTTGTGTAGTTGGGAAAGGTGCTCCGTCTAGTGCTGGTTCGAGACTAATCAGTGCAGTGAAGATTGAAACAGCCAGTTTATAAGGGTATGTACGTCAAATATAAATGTGCTGGAATACTTCAAGCAAGCGAAATAATACAAATTTAGAAGAGCAGGGACTGACTATTCTTATATTAGTTGCTTGCCTTTTCAAAACCAACGATTCAAGCTCGCGCTTTGCTGTCAAAAAGCTCTCATTGTATTCAAACCTAAACTCAAAACGTACCACAATTAGGACCAGCTGCAAGGCAGCGCGGCTCGTTTTCAGTTGGCTTGAGCAGCAAAAATGTGAGCGCCTCTTCTTGTGTCGAAGAGTAAACAACACTTTTAGTGTTTTGTGTTGAAGGACCAGCCAAAGGCTGGCTAGTGCAGCTCTCTTTCAAACTGAAACTGCATGGGTTTACTGATCAAGTAGTAGACTAAGGGCTCGAGTCACCCAGATCTGGTCAAATAGTTACAAATTCATTCACTCTATAGTATTGACATGTCGCTTGCTGCAGCAAGATTTTGCATAATTGTCTTAACCAAAATATCCGAAATCAACTATTTTAAGATGCACTTGTATTTAATCCCTAAGAAACCCTCAGCTAAATATAGTAAATGACACTAAATATAGTAAATGACAGCTGTAATTTTTTTCTTTTTTTTTTTTTTTTTGTTGTTGTTGTTGTTGATTACTTTCAGTCATTTCTCGTACATTTTAAATCAAATTGTAAACCAAATTATCCAAAAATATATTTAATGGTTAGTTTTTTGATTGAATCAAATTGTAATCATAATATTGCTTTTGTGGGTATAGTAAATTTTACAAGGAATTGTACATTTTTCATGATACAAAAGTTCGCACGCTTTTGAAATTTAGTGGGCGCATGCGTGGGAGAAAAAAGATTTTTACCAAAGCAATTTGCTTGAAATTCTCGAAACTTTGTTTGAAATTACGATTCATAATCTATTACGAATTATTCTGATTGTTTAAAACTTAACGTAATAGTAAAGATAATTAGGTCCGGCGTCAGGTACAAAAATATTTCCTGACGATATACATATTGATAGTATAAGTATAATTTAAAATAAAGTGAACAGAACTAATAATACTGTAGCTTAATTGTAGCTTTACAAATCTCCACTTGAGTTACTCATAAGCGTGGGCTATTCAAATCAAGATGGTTCTTGAAATGCCGTCATCCCAGTACCAGGACAATTAATGGCTAAATAGGATAATAAATGATTTGATTTGTCAAGTGCTTGATACCCAGACGAAGATTTTGGTTGACATGATGTGGTACGATGTTCAGATACGTGCTTCAAAAAAAATTTAAAAACATTGAATGAGATTATTCTGAATTGTAAAGGTGGCCGGTTTATCGAAGTTTAGATGGTTAGTAGGAACAACCAGTCGAGATTATGGTGGGCGTCAGGTGTTCATTGTACTTTGTAAGGCAACTGGTGTTAGTGGTGGTGTTCGACAAGGTTCAGAATAAGGTGTGACATAAGGATGGGATCAAAACAACAAAAAACGTTTTTTGGAGGCAGAATTTGAATGTTTTTGGCAAAATGAGGCAGTATCTAAAAATAGTGTCGATAATTGCTATCGTTAGGACGCTTTTGGAGTAAGAAGTGGGATATCTTAAATCGGAAAAATGAGAGAGAAAGAGAGAGAAAGGAAGGGAGGGAGGGAAAACTAAATAACCGAGAAAAAAAATTGTTCATGTAGCGTGTGAACTAAAGCTATTTTGAATAAGAGCCATAGTTTCCGGGTTTTCTTTTAATCGAACTTGCTATCCAGAGGAAGTCATGCGGTCAGATTGGTTTATCGGTGGTAAACTTGGTTTTCAAAGTCCTACGCATTCGTAGGAGTTTTTTAGTTCAATACGTTCCAAAGAAAAACATGTATACTCCCATGGGCTACGAGTCTGTTCGAGTACCTCGTATGACTCATCGTCGCTCATGTGTTAGCAAGGTGCTTGCAGCTGTTTGCATTCATATAGAACCCATAGGTGTTTTCTAGTCTAATACGTACCAAAACGAACTATGTATAGCATGGTTATAGTGTGTTTTACAAATCTGTTTGAGTACCTCGTATGACTCATCAAGGGCTGGTGTGATCGATCTGGTGTTGTCAAAGGGCTTACAATTCGCTTCGCTATAAGCCGCATTTTGTCTGACAATATAAATCGAAAGTCGATCAAACTTGGTATTGTGTCGTAATAGCACCGTATGGTTCTGGTTACAGTTACTTCGAAGCTCGACGGACCACAAATATTCAAAAAGGTATTCGTTTTGACTAGGCCAGTATCACAGGCAGGGTTTAGTGTTGGCATGGTTTACGGGGACTTTCCGATGTTGGGCTTCAATTTCGAGCCTTACAATATCACCGATGCAGTGCGAAGAGCTAGTGGGCGTTGCCTAAAACGGTCCCATTGAATACTTTCCCCAGCGCAGATCAATATACATCCTACGTACGTCTAGTAATGAGAAAGAAAGATGAATATAGAAAGTATTTCAAGCATGCATTCTGGCTTAAAAATCCTAAATATTTTTGCTTAATTCTCAAGGTCACTTACTGATAAACAAGTTTGACAGTGATGTCTACGTAAGGCGGGAAGCATAGTTTTCCTTGCATGGCATTTGAATTCTAAGGCAAACCACAACATTCATTCGATTACAAACGTTATAAATTCAACAGAAAACCATAAATATAAAGGATGTACTACAAGTGAACGAAGTACGTCAGTTCAAGCAGACCGTTGCTCGAAGAAAATAAGACTAGCCAAAGGCATTCAAACTGTTGTATAATCCAGCTTAAATGCCGTAAATCCTAAACCTTTTTTTAATACTTAGGCGTACTTTTAAACCATTACTATCAGCATTCTGCTCCTACTAATTGCTAAATTCAATCGTTTTGGCAGAATATTTAAAGAAATGCTATCGCTACACATGGAGGTTTCAAGCTACTACGTATCCTTGGTTGTTGTGGTTCTAGCGATGATATTTTCAACAGGTAAGGGATCATTTTTTCTACTTTATAACTCTTGATTATCATTACCACAAGCAGATCTGAACACAGTGAAAAATCATAATGAATATATTACGAAATGTTATAGAGTTACAGCGTCATAGATGTATTACAGACCAATTACAGTTCCCAATGTTTGATTAAGTGCGTTCCCAAAATTCTCCATCGTTTAGATTGAATTAGTGAGAACTTATAAAAAATATAACGATACATTGATATATATAGCCCTCTCGTAACATTTCGATAGTTTATTTTTTTCTAAAATAGGCATGCACTATACAGCTTCCAAACTAAAGTTTTGTATACTAGTTTGCTCACACCTGACAAATTTATTGGTGAAGAAAGAAATAATACTCAAGCTATTGGCAAGCTATCTAAGATAGTAATACAATACAATAGTCATAATTTAAACTAGTGAATTCTCACTTTCTTAAGGCCGGTTTAGACGGTACGATTTTCGCCTACAACTATCGTATACAACTCGCTCGCGTCTGTCGTAGGCGAGTTGTAGGCTTGATTTACACGCTACGACTCGAGTTGTAGGATGGCGCGGGCGTGTTGTATACGATAGTTGTAGGCGAAAATCGTAGCGTCTAAACCGGCCTTTAATATTATTGTTTTATACGCACTACGTGTATTTTAGCCTTTAAAAACTAGTTTCGTTGTTGCTGACAACCTCTTCAGTTTGGCTAGAACAGTAACGATTCGTTGTTCCAAACATCGTTACTCGCGCATATTTTGCGTCATTAATTCTCCCAAGTTTATGACAGTAATCTATTAGCACTTGGGTGCCTAAAGGAAAGAATCCAGAAACCCCAGAACTGTGTTGTGATATAATGTATGTGTTTATGTCTATTGGTCAAGGTCGACATTCCGTTAACGAGTTTTTATAAGAAAAGCTTGGTCTGGATGGAGAAGGAAAAGGAATGAATGGGGTGGAGAGAGAAGGGAGGGAGAATAGGGAGAGGAAGAAGGGAAGGATGGAGGCAGAGAGAAGAGAGAAGCAAAGACAACTACAATGAGATCGCCATTCCAGAGACAAAAAAAGAAAGAAAGAAAGAAAGAAAGTGCGTTTTTATAAGAATAGCTTGGTCGGGATGGAGAAGGAAAAGGAATGAATGGGGTGGAGAGAGAAGGGAGGGAAAATAGGGAGAGGAAGAAGGGAAGGAAGGAGGCAGAGAGAAGAGAGAAGCAAGGACAACGACAATGAGATCGCCATTCCAGAGATAAAAAAAGAAAGAAAGAAATAAAGAAAGTGCAGAGAAAAAAGAAGAAAAAACTAAAGAAAAAAGGAAAAGGGATGAAAGTTATGTTCAATTGACATGCAGTTGATAGAAGGATATAGAAAAAAAATCCACCATTACATTATTACAAATAATCTCATCCATATTGTAGACTTGAGCCGATAAGACTATATATTTGTCGGAAATCTCTGGGTCAGTCTTCATAAGAGGTTTAAAGGGGGCAGATAATATATGATGCCATAATCCCACAAGTTAGCATCAAAACATTTCAAAAAAAGTTATATATAGATCCATAATTGTTTTTGTATGCCAAAAATGGCTCAGTGACGAACGAAAGAACGCGAGAAATGTTCCGAGGTTTAAGCAGTGACCAAAGCCATCGGGGGTCTAAGCAAAGATCACGATAAAAACAGACCTGAAATATGCCAACACAATAGGAGTGATTGACGGCTTCAGGTAAAGGAATGGTAGAGACACCGACATTTGGAACGTCAAAGAAGACCTTTGGGAAAATTTAATATTATTAACATTATTGACAATTTTTATCTATATTTCTTTTTTCTCAGCGTCTAGTAATGCTGTCTCTAATCGTGTGCCTGGTAATGGTGAGTTCTTCTTAACGTTTCTATGTCCATGAATTTTCTCATTTATCATTCCTTCGCCTTCCTTCCTCTACTTGCCGGCGCCATTCCTGTGGTTACGAAAACCAAGTTTAGCTCCTTCTTGCTCTCAGAACTCCCATGAGTGCTTAAGAAAGTTTCCAAGTTTTGTTTATTATCCTAGACAAATAAGTTTTAAAAACTGTTTCTACGATATCGATTTTTTACGACTTTGAGATTGCATTGCCTCCTCTACAATCACTGCCTCCCAGCACTATTTCCATCTCAAATTCAAGGACTTTCTAACTCCTCTGTCTAATCTTATATATGATTGCTAAAGATAACGTATCGATTTGTTTTAGCGGATATATCGACGTCTTGTTATTTTGAAGACCGGTTTTACCCCGTCAACTCTAGTTTTCTAACCAAGGATTGTGCGATGCAGTGTATCTGTATTGGATACAACGTTACCAGTTGTATGGACCTGTGTAATCCTTTACCCAGGGGGAATTGCCCGCTTGGCTGGAGGGCGGAGGAGGAGAAAGAACCTGCTGGTCCAAAAGGTAGTAACTGCTTTTGTACAAAAAAGGAGTGCGTTCCAGGTACGTGACGGCCTCGGTGATTGCGTGACATGTTTCAGTCCAACTCTCCTACTGGAACCGCTAAAAAAAGCGAGACATGTTATCAAGGAAATAATTTCCACCTGAAACAATTAGGATTTTAGACAACGAAACCTTTCATGAAGAATAAATTTGAAAAATCTCTTTAGAACTGATTTTGATTTTGAACCCGGAAGTCCTTTTTCCATACGATTGCCTTTACACATTTAAAGTGCTATACGGCTATAGCATCACGCAATCATATCTTAAGATACCTTGTTGAGGATTTGAAAAAAAGTTTTAACTACTGGAGTTGACTTATTGCTAAAGATTTGTGGCGCTTTGGGTTTAGGTACACACGAGGCAATAACATTCAATTGTCGAATATTTTAATACATGAGCAAGTGTTATGGGATGGACCGCTCTCGGTAGAGCTACTCGGGATCTTTATTCTACTTTCTCTTCGCTCTGACTAAAACTAATTACATGAGCTCTATTTATAATAACTTCATGACAGGTGTCATTCTACAATCAATATGATTTTATCGCTGTGCCTTGATTGGCTAATGGAAATAGTAAATTCCTGAGTGTGATATCCTATTAAGAATAATACGAGTGAAAATCATAGAACTAAACATAACTTAAACCAAAGATAATATGTGAATATATGGTAAATGTATAGAAAGGTCTACGAGGAATATATGTATCATAAGATTTAACAGAATAGTGCTAAAATAACTAAGCAAAGGGGTAAAGAGTGTTTAGGGTGTAACCAGAGGTGTACATGCTAATGGGAGGAGCTAAGTGGTTTACTTGTAAATTCAAAGCATACCATTATCTAAACTTGCGTGATGTTAGCCTTGCTGAAATCTTATATCGATAATTTTCAATAACTAATTGATCGTTCTTTATCTTGTTTTCATACGATAAGAAATAGTAATTAGAAAACTGATGTCTAGCTTAGTCTGTAAAAACATTAATTTTCTCTCTCATAACACAAGTACCATAGAGCTCCATAAAAAAAATGAAGGGAGAGGTGGTCTTAGGTTTGAAAAATATATATATAGTAGGTTAGTACTAGGGGAGGAATGAAATACTGAAATTTTATGGAATATTAGCTAAGAACGGAATGCCCAAAAATCCCCTACCCCCTCCCTTCCTCGTGATTTCTAACCACATTGGCAAACTTGCATAGCTCATACTTCTTCATATCTTTTCCAGCTTTCTGTTTTACCAAGGATTTCGTCAAATACAAAATAGGAGAATCCTACAAGCGTAACAACTGCTCAGAGACATGCACTTGTACGAAGGAGACCCGTTTTGAGTGCAGACCAACATGTCCTACGATCAACTGCCTCAAGGGATTCAAGGTTAAGAACACTGGACAGACAGTGATGATATCTGGCTGTAGATGCCCAGTTCAACGTTGTAAGAGTAAGTCGAATTGTAAAATCGTTAAGTCGTTTTAAGAAATGATATTTTTCCTTAAAAATCCCTTAATTTCCCTACCATACCTGAGGGTCAAAACGATAACATTTTATTAAAAAAAAAAAAGAAAAAGGAATTCTTTAGGTTTAAGATCCCCAGATTGGGAATTATCGGAAGGGGTCTCTAAGCCATTCCAAAGTCGAGGAAAAAACTGGGCTCTGATCATTGCAGTGTATTTGGTGGCTGTTTTAGGGAACATTTTTCCAAGATGGCGTCTATTTCGTCCCCTAACACAGCCCCAAAATGCTTTGCAAAGCCAACCTCACCCAGTCTTCCCTCGACCTCGGAATGGCTAATGTATACCGCGATATTCTTAAGGCCTTGGGTTAGTGTTAGTAGACCAAAAAAACTTGTACCGTTTGAAGGGGATCTAAGTGCCTTTTTTCCTCGTAGAACCAGGTCGAATGTGCAAAGCTAACGGTCGCGTCTACACTAACGGAAAGTTATTTGTGACTGASAGCTGTCGATCAAAGTGCAAGTGTAAAAGGAATGGAGTTTTGAGGTGTAGTCCATTGTGTCCCAAGGCTAAGATACCAAGCTGTGCGAAGAATGAAAGATTAGTGGAAAGAAGGCTACCAACTGCTCTTGCTAGGGGAAGATGTTATTGTACGAGAAAAATCTGTATTCCTGACCCTGGTGAGTTGGAAAATCTATTATTACAACCCGCATCATAAAATAATAATAATCATCATCATCATTACAGTCATCATCATTATCATCGTTATCAATTTTCATAGCCTCGATTACCGTTATCATTTGTCGTCATCATCATCATCATCAACTTTATCAACATCACCATAACATCAACATTATCAATATCACCACCATCGCCACCATCATCATCAGCAGCATCGCAGATATCGTCATCATCATCATCTACATCATCGTCATCACCGTCATCATCTACATCATCGTCATCATCTACATCATCGTCATCATCATCACCACCACCACCATCATCATCAATAGCAGCATCATCGACATCATCATCATCATCACCTTCATCATCACACCCATCATCATCATCATCATCATCATCAATAGCAGCATCATCAACATCATCATTATCATCATCTCGATTATCATTATCATCCCCACCATCGCTACCACCATCATTATCAAAATCATCGTTATCACCTTCTTCAACATTGTAACACAATTACACGATCATCCCTATCCATTTCATTAATATCTGCGTTCACAGTCCAACAATCAATATTCCTCAAACCAATCCTCTTATTTCAGCTGCTCTGAAACCGTTCAACTTGCTCAAGCCATTCCAACTCAGAAGTTGTCAATTTGCCAACAAGACATTGCGTCCTGGACAGCGGTTTATCTCCAAAGACTGCTCGGACAGATGCCGATGTACATCTAAGGGATATTTAGTCTGTGTTCCACTGTGTGCCAATCTTCCAGTCACGTGCCTGGCTAATGAAGAGCGCGTGTTGATCAGAAGACCAGTGCTTGATAGTAACTGTTCATGTACAAGAGTAATATGCAGAGCAAAGACAAATCAAGGTAAAGGATTTTGTCTCATTTGAGGTGTATAGAGCAACTTTTGTATGCCTTTAAAAACACGCACCAACCAGGACGTTTCGCGCCGTTGCCGTGACGGTACCGCGTCCGAACATGTTCATTGGTTAGTAGCCGGATTGCACGCGCCACAAATCGTTCAAAGGAGATTTGGAGACATTATAAGGCCAATGTGAATTATGGTTTGTGCGTGAATTATTTGCACTGTTTTGCAATAAAGGCATTCTGTGTACAAGTCGAGCTTGCTATTCGCAATTGCTTATTTTCCTGGGCCCAGTTGTTCAAAGCCCGATTAGTGCTAATCCTAGGTTAACTCTTAATAAGACCTATAGAGTTAAACCTGGATTAGCGCTAATCCAGCTTTGAACAACCCGGCCCTGCTCAATAGTCACGCAATGCGCTGTCAGTTCAACGAGCGTTGTGTGACATCATTTGAATAAAACCATGACAACGGCTCTCATTTCATTACATTTTTTAGGAAAAAGACAAAACGAGTGCCGAGTAGACGGGCACGCCTTCCAAAGAGGCATCACCTACGTCGATACAAACTGCACCAAATCCTGCACGTGCGGTAACGATGGTGACGCTAAATGTAGACCGCTGTGTCCATTGCATCAAACCACGTACTGTCAGAATGGTTACTTACAAATCAATCACGTCCGGTCCGCTGTTGCACCATGGTGCAAGTGTTATATCAAAGAGTGTATAACCATTGAGGGTAAGTTGACTAACTAGCTACTAGCTGCTATTGATTGCTAGTGATTTTCCTCAGGCCGTGAAACAGTTTCTATTAGATAGTCATAAATAGAGTTCTTTACCTTGGGTGTACTTTTTTCCCATTTCAGACCACATGTCATTCCTTTGAGAATAAGATTCGTTGTTTGAGTCGTGTCCATATTCATGTGTCTTCTCGTACGCAACCTTTAAGCACAGAAATAATACTCTAGGGAATGACACGTGGTCTGAAAAGGGAAAACAATACGCCCAAAGTAAAGAGGTCTATTCCAGTCAAATAGGCACAAAAGAAAACAATGCAAATAGACCACTTGCACTGAGTCCCGAGAGGAACTGTCATGGGGGGAAAAACAATGCTTTTTTTTTTTTTTTTTTTTTCATAAGAAAGTAAAGAGGTCTATTCCAGTCAAATAGGCACAAAAGAAAACAATGCAAATAGACCACTTGCACTGAGTCCCGAGAGGAACTGTCATGGGGGGAAAAACAATGCTTTTTTTTTTTTTTTTTTTTGCATAAGAAAAGACGGCATATTGTTTGGTCCCCGTGAACAATTCCTCTCGGGACTCAATGCAAGGGGTCTATAATATCTACTAACCTCTATTAGTCTAATAACTATTTCACGGTCTGAGGAGAATCACTCTAACGAGAAGAATAGGGGATGGAAGGGGTAAAAGGGGGCAAAGACTTTGCATTTTAGTCTTGTACTATTGCTACCAGAATTCCTTGCGCCGTTTTTCTAGCGTTAGTTCACTATTTGCACCATTTGCCTTTAATGGAATAAAAAAATTGAACCTGGAAGAAGGATATTAACCAAGCATTTTGGTTGTTGTAGTAAGAAGACGCCATCTTGGGAATGACTTTTTGATACACCGAGTGATGAGTAGCGCAGTCAGTGGTCAGTAGTGATCATATATGAATACTCCGTGAAACCACTCGACTGTATCCTAAATATTTAATTTTCTTTCGCAGAATGATATCTTTTTCTTCTTTTCTAGATAATCGAACCGAAATCCAGTAACACCGACGATAGACCATGTACATACACAGGTGAGAATCATTCTGTTTAATAATCATGACCAGAGTGGAACATTTAAAAAAAAAAAAAAAAAAAAAAAAAAAAAAAAAAAAAAAAAAAAAAAAAAAACAAGCAAAGATTTTTCTCAAAATTAAATGACCAAACAACAAAGCAAACACGGTGAATTTGATTGTTAAAAGCAACTATGCATAATGCAAGTCTGGCATCGTGCGGGAAAGCTGCTTGAATCGCGTCATTTTGCATGTTGGATCAAATCTGGTGATATACACCTTTTTCAAAAAAAAGTTGATGCAGGTTTTGTTGCATGTTCCATGCCAACCCGGAATGCATTATGGGTGATGTGTGAATCCAATCAGTGACAGATTATAACGATATAGAATTTTCCCAATCTTTGTCATATTATACACGGTGATGACATCATTTATATATGATCCACAATGCATCTTGGGCTTGTTATGCAACATGCAACACACAACATACAACATACAACATACAACATACAACATACACATACAACATACGAACAACATACGGGGCAACATTGCACGCAATATTTAATGTTGAAGGCAGTCTTACTTACTATAACAACATACAACATACAACATGCAATATGCAACATACAACATGCAACATACATCATGCAACATGCAACATATAACATACGACAAGCAACAAGCACCAACCTTTTTGAAATAGCTGTATACTACAACTTCGTCTATGCAATTTGTGGTTATTGAGGTTTAAGTAAAACAATACCAAATGCAAGATTTGAATTATCATGCTTGCGCCTTTTCTATACTAGATTAAAAAGGATAAAAGAAATAAAGGACAAACAACAAGAGATTATCTACCAAATTGGAATACATTATTCCGCTGACAATCCATTCTGCTCATTCATCAAAGTTACATTACACTTATAACCCTTTAAAGATAAACAAGTCCTGAATCATTGTAAATGGATGCAAAGAGACCAAACTCGTTCTGCCTGATACATAACATCACAGCTCGAGGAATCATAGGACGAATGGGAATCTTCGTGTGACATTACTGGTGTGCAACCAATCAAAAACGTGTTGGACATAGACTAGATCCGTTTGAAAGAGTCTGATGTGTTTGATCATGCCTGACAGAAATAAAGACCTAACGTGAGCCTACAACGGTATATCATAGGAAAAGAGGTGACGTGAGGTCTTCTCTTGAGACGCAGAAATATATGTATGTATGTACGTCATGACAGTGTTAGTTAGACTACGTACTGCGAACATTGCTTTGCTATAAAGTCATGAGCATAACTTTTAAAATACATAATTGAGTATTAGAGCGTATTATTGATTACAGATATAAATGATTGTCACGCTAGACACTATCAAAGGGCTGTTCCAAGAGTTTTCAAAACTTGGTGCAGATAATGCATGAATGTAATATGAGGTCAAAGTGGGCCCGATACTGAATTCATATGAGATGGAACGTAAAATAGGTAGTGTAACCCCCCCGTATCATGCGTTTTGGATCCACTACTTGATATTACTCTGTAAACTTAGACCATTCTTGAAAAGGGAGGGTCAGTTACGCAGATAAAAGATCAGCATATTTAGATAAAACTGATCACATGTTTTGTTACTAAGACATGCACGTTGATCCGTTGTAAGTTTTGTGTGTAATAGCCTGCGAAGTGGCTCAAAAGGCTAGGTCTGTAAAGCCGACGCTTTGATGCTAAACTATTGGATATGTTAATCTATATACTCCTAATCAATCTATATACTCCTAAGCGTGTTGAAAATAACGACAACTTTAAGTTTTGTTTTACCTAAGATTATATTAACATATTTTACATTCGTAAATCATGAAGAAATTGAGATGGATTTGAAGCATTTCTATTATAGTAGCGATGTAAAAGAACACATGCATTTGTGAAGGTGAGGTGGTCCTACTGCTCAGAAAGGGCACAGCAACAGAGCTACCTAAAAGTGGAAGGCTTGAAATGAGTAAGAATAAGACGTTTGTATGATGGTGTCATTTCACTACCACTACCAAAATGCTTCTCGAATTTCAAAGTCTATTCTTATTCAAATCAAATTCGTATTTCCCCATGAAAAAAATATTGGTGCTGATTAACTGACCAAAAGAAAGGGATTCTGGTAGATGGAGTAAATAACGCCATAATGCAAGTTTTCTATACAAAAAGCACGAACGTTAGCACTGGAGACTTCCACTCCAACGTTTTATTATGCTACCAATACCAGTTTAAAAACACGATGCTCTCATGCCGCGACTTTACGAAACAACATCAGAAGTCTGTTTGGCATTGATTGGTTTTTTAATTCACAATTTCGACCAATCTAATCCATCCTATGCAATCAAGTGTTCCTGCATCTCATTATCTATATAATTAAGTATATTTATGGCAAACAAAAAAAAAAACACAACATAAGAAAATAATGATAAAAGATATAATCATTCAAAGAGAA